CCCCCCCCCCCCCAAAAAAAAAAGGAAGGAAATAGATTATCTCTCACGTGCACCTAACCCCGAGCAAAACGGAGAATTATCCTGTTGACTAATCGATCAATTCTTTGACTTTTCATGCAGACGTAAGAATTAGGGCAACTCAACGCATGCAAAAAGGATTAGGGTTTTTGCCGACGTCATATTATATGCGTCTCCTTAGTTTTTTTATAATCCAGAATTTCATATGGTTTTCGGGTCCAAATATATCTTTCAAAATGATCGAAAAAACTAAGATGAATGTTCTTCTCCAAATAAAAACTCGAACCTAGGTTAGAAAATAGTTTTGTCCATCCTTTATTGCTAAACCACCCGATCTTCAGTTGTCCTCTCCCTTGATGAATTTTTGGATGTATGTTCAGTTTCTCTTGTTTAGAAATGGATTTCATTTCTAACATTCAAAATGCTTATTCCCCATGAGTTAAAGAAGTGGTAATAATGCGAAATTTAAAGAATATTTGAAAAGTTTCCACTAATATTCTCCACCAAAATACATATCATTATATTAGAGATAGGCTATGATTAGCGTCGGAAAACCGATGTCGGATTTATCCCTAAGCCGCGTTTTACTTGTTAATTAATGGGTTTATGGATTTGATGAACCTAACCCATGTTAGCCCATTAAGTTCAAACAAATCAAATAGCCTTGGACGTGCCATACGAAAACCGAACCGGTTTCGATTCGGTTTTATTTTATTAGTTAGAATCGAATTGTACAAAATAAAGAGAATCGATTGGTTCCGGTTCTGATTTGGTAAAAACCAAACGAAATTTTGGTTTCTTTAGTAAATATAAAAAGTAAAAAATAGAAATTGAATCCAAACCGTAATCAAATATGTATAATTGGAAGAAACTGAATCGATTCTGAACAGGAACAATAAATATAATTGAGACCAGATCAAACAAAAATTCAGGAGAAAGAACAAACGTGATTAGAGAAAAATTAGGGATGGGTGTTTTTGTTCGGTTCCGAACTGGACTGTACAAAGATTTCGAATGATAATGTTTAACAACATTGAATATCCCGAAACCAAATATTAAAAAAAAACAAAAAATATATATTTTTAAAAACGCCAGTCCAATTAAACTGAAAGAGAATCGAATAGATTAAATATAATAATCGATTGGTATATAATTTTTTAAAACCGAATAAGCCGAGCAGCGAAATCGAATACAATAGCGAAAAGTCCACCTCTAAAAAAAATTATTTTCTCAAATTCAAATAAAGTTTTCTCATATATAAATAATAAACGTAACAAAAAGTAAACCCATTTAAAAATGGGTTGGGCCAACTCAACTAATAAAATGCTCAAGCCCAAATGGATTTTCAAAATCTGAAAATCTCTATATCTATTTTATCTGAAATTTCAACGTCAAATAATTATTCGTAATCTCCATCGTATTAAAATACAAAAAATATTCGAAAAGTTTCAAATAATATTCTCAACCCAACCCAAATCTCTGTTAGTATTAGTCAGTTTTGAAGGCGAATCGTATTCAATGTTGTGTTCCAATCATATCCAATGTGTATTGGAATATATATACACACATATATATATATATATATACCAACACATCTATATACATTTTCATGTAAAGAAAAAGAACCTAAAGATCCAAAAGCCAATGCAATATAGGGGAAAAAGAACAAGAATCAAGAACCAAGAATCTCTGTCTCTCTAACCAACGGCTACATTTTGCTGCTGTTGAACCACCAAGACCGACGCCTTGTGCGGAAAATCGCGCGAGACCAACAAGTCGCCGATCACACCCAGCTCCTCGAACTCGACCCAATCGCCCAACGCAGCCGTCACCTCGCTGTTCAGACCGCTGCCTCTTCCCACCACGAACAGCTCGTAGAACTTGGCCGCCGACATGAGCACCCTCGATGTCTCCGATCCGTCCGCCACTCTCTCCTCCATGTACTCCACGTCACAGCCACTCTGATCGCCCTGGTCCCCGCCATTATTGTTCCTCATCACCACTTCCCTCAGCTCGGCCGCGTCCAGCATCTGGTCCCAGCCCGTGCATTTCCCCGCCATGCTCGCCGGGACCAGCCTCAGCACCGTCAGGCTCACTTCCCGTTTCTGCGCCATCCGCTTGGCCAGCGCCAATGCCTCCCTATCGTCCCTCCCTCCCACGAATACGGCGCAAATCTTGAGAGACGGGTGATGGGTCTTCGGCGTTGGTCTGATGTATTCTCTGTGAACGAAGATCCCGACCGAGCAAGGCGCTCGCCGTAGGATGTTTAGGTTGACGTTCCGGATGGTGTTGTCGTCGGACAGAAGCGTTGTCTGGTCGTAGGACCATGTCCGGTGGAAAGGAAGGAGTATAAAGGAAGTAACTTTCTCGAGAGCGAGCTGAGCAATCTCCTGGTCCATGTATCTTGGGATGGAGACCGAAGTGAAGGAATCTACCGACACAGATTTCCAGAAGTTCTGCTTGAAGTTTGTGAAGGCGACGATGACATTGGCGGAGAGAGAAGTGCTTCCGGGCTTCGGCTTCTGCATCTTATGAGAGATGAAGAGGGGATTGTCTTGGCCGACAAGCTCCACCAGGTGAAGCACGAAGCAGGCGAGAGTGAACTCTCCCGAAGTGAAGGAACCTACCAGAAGCTTGATCATAGAGGTTATGTGGTGGGATTGGTAAATGCAGACAAGAACTCGAACCTCCGACCCGAACTTGAGGCTCATTACGTTCCTCTTCTGGTAACATACGAATCTTTTCGACGAGTCGTAGAGGTAATTTATCAAGATCGGCTGAAACAAGGCGCAGAGTAGAATGATTGCAGTCATTGTTGTGAACGTCTTTGGCGAAATGATCTGCGGAAAAAACCGGTCGATTTCAGACGAGAGAGAGAGAGAGAAAAAGCGGAAAAAGACTGCGGATACTACGAGAGATCGAAGAGAGGAGAAATACTTACTCTTACTTCGACTGCATACATGTAGTAAGCGAGCTCGATGATTCCCTTACTGGTGAGAATGAGAGCGAGAATGATGGAATCCTTGAGAGGCATTTTCGCAAAGAACGGAGGGATGGTGGAGGCGATGAACTTGACCGTGAATATGACGAAAACAAGAGACGTGACCTCGAAGAATTGGCCTCGCATGACACTTAACCCCTGAAGCTGGCGGATCAACCACGGCCCGTCAACCTGCAACATGCCGAAGAACACGAAAAGCGGCAAGAGAATGCCGGTGTTGATGCATTCGAACCTCTGGACCAGCATTGATCCGATGGGAGGGCCGTGCGGAATGGCTAAACCCACGATGAACGGTCCCATGGCTGGGAGCAACTCCAAGAATCCGAAATAGTTGTAAGCCAAGAAAGCTAACAAGATGATGCTGTAGACGACGACGTTGTTCACAGGCCTTCCCTCGGGTGTTCTTCTGATCACCATGAACATGGCCGGTCTTATACCCCATATCATCACCATGATAAACCCTAGGGCACCCCCGATCTGCCAGTACACATTCGTTATCTTATCTTTTTCTGTCCACATCATCAGAGCCAAGAGGTTGATGGCGAAGCTGACGATATCCGCCACCATTGCAGACGAGAGAGCGATCCTTCCAAACTCGGTGTGGTTGATCTTGAGATCTCTCAACAGTCTGGAAATGCCCGTGAAGGCCGAGATGCTCTGCATGAATATCATCACTCTGATCTCCATTGCGTCCAGAGCTTCTGTCCCTACCTGACGTTTCTGCCCGAAAACCATGTTAGCAACCATGATGGGGAGAATAATGGTGGTGATTCCCGTCACGATGGCTTTCGGCCCTTGCCTGCTGATCATACCAAAGTCCATTTTCACGCCCTCAAGGAACCAGTATAACGTGAAAGCGAACGCTCCTACCGTCTCAGCGACTTTAGGCCTACGGTCGTCCGGGAATAGCATCTGCCTTACAGTCGATCCATCGTTCATAAGGCTCACTTGGCTCAGGGCCGCTCCAGCCTTTTTTCGCAAGAAACGGGAAAAAACGTTAAAAAAGTTTCCATCTTTTTTGCTCAGAACGTACGAAATAGAGGAAAAGGAATTCGCTTACGAGCATCATGGAGGTGAACTTGGGAATCCGAAGGCCTAGCTTCTTGAACGAGAAATGGAACAACTGCCAAAGGACGAGGACCAAAACGCAGGCAATCTCGAGAAGCGGAAGCGAATACTGCCAGACCTGCAGACCCGAAACCTGCTCGGTCATTCTCTCCCAGACGCCGTGCGAGTTCACGATCATCGGATTCTGCTCGCAGAAGAGCAGCTTCTCGTAGTACATGCCATAGCCGCGAGACTCGAGGTCGTTCCACAAATCTGACGCATCTGCAGGATGCGTTTCGGACAAATTCATAGTGTATCAGACACAGACGACAAGATCAAACAAATGGTTTCTCAGAAGAAGCAAGCAAAGAATATATATATATATATATAAAATGAAGTTTTCATTACATCTTGTACGGTTTCTTACGGTTTTTTCTTTTTCTGTTAAACTGTTAGGTTTAACGGAACGCGTTGCATGTTATGGGAAGCTATAAATAGTAAGTGAAGAGCTGTTTCTGTAAACACGTGAAACAAAACACATCTTTCTGTTGCCCCATGCAAATGAATCTGTAACTATCTCTTGTCTCTGTTCTTGATATTCCTCAATAGAAACTTTCTGGCAGGATTCTATCCGTCAGTTACATTACGACGTATCTTCATCAGGGTTTTCAACGTTGTTTCTTCGACCGACCATGGAGATGGTAATACAGAGTTTCGATTGTTTTCATTTCGGATAGCTGTATATATTATGCTCTCACGGTTTATACATTAAAGTCCTATCATAAGTTTTTGCTGATAATAAATGTACAGCTTTCCGACAATTAATGGTTCTTACAAGACGTTGGGATCTTGTATCTTTTGGCAATGATTATATAATCATAAGTCTCCATCTTAAAAAGCTTGTGTTCATGGAGAATTATCAGAAATGGAAATACATTTAAAAAAAAAAATATGATGAGTTTCTTGGGCCAAAAGCAAGAAACGCTTGTGGACCGTCTTTCTTGATTTTTTTTTTTTTGGTTTTGGTTTTGTATAATATTCCATTCATTCTCTGTAATTTTGTATCAGTTAATACTAATCATGGATTACAAAAAGATCGAGTAATTAATCACTCAAATATGGAAAGTCGGTCTTAGATTTTTAAGAAAACAAATCTCGGATGAATTACAACTAAATCTATTAAAGAATTCGTGTTTCTTCTGCATCTTTCTCCTCAAGAAACAAGATGCAGATACGGACAGAAGAAGAATTGCTGTTACAGCTGAAATTGCAAAGATTTCAGAAGCTAGAAAGAAGTCTTCTGTCATGTTTTCTGCAACCGAAAGAGACGGATCATCGGCCCTGTTCTTCGTTTTCTAGCTCGCTACAGATCGCTGCTGCTGAATCACTAACACCGATGTCATGCCCGGAAAATCGGGCGACGCCAAGAAATCTCCGAGGATGCCCAACTCCTCGAACTCGCTCCAACCCTCGAGCCCGCTCGTCACCTCGTGATCCATGCCGTTGCTCCTTCCGACGATGAAAAGATCGAAATCGCAAGTCATTGACCGTAAAAGCATCGATGTTTCGGTTCCATCTAACACCTCTTTCTCCACGTAAGTTGTGGATTCATCCGATTTTCCGCCACTGTTTCTGTGCATCATTTCCCTGAGCTCAACAGTGTCCAGCATTTGGTCCCATCCCGTCATTTCGTTGCTTTTATTGGTAGGAAAGAGCCGTAAAACGGTAAGGATAACGTTGTCGTTCCGTCCCATCCGCTTCGCAAAGGCCAATGCCTCTCTGTCATCTCGTCCTCCGATGAATATAACGCAGACCTGAACACAGAAAGAACAAAAAAACTCCATAGATCAATGAGAATGAGTCTGTGAGAGATTCAAGAAAGTTTTCTTGATGAATCTTGACATACCTTGAGTGCGGAATGAGATTTCTTTTGGTTTTTGTTAACGACTTGGCGTTCGATGAGGATACCGACAGAGCAAGGAGCCTGTTTCAGGACATTGAAGTTGAGATACCGAATCACCCCGTTGTCCGAAATGATCGTTTTCCGATCCAGGGACCACGTCCGGTGGAAAGGAAGGAGAATAAGAGACGCGGCTTTGTCCAGAGCAAGCCAACAGATATCATCCTGCATGTGATTTGGGTTTGCGATGCAAGTGAAGGTGTCAATGGAGATAGAGCTGCAAATGTAACGGTGGAAATGCTCGAACGAGAGGACAACGTTGTCTGAACGGTTGTCGCCATTCCCGACTCCGAGCTTTTGAACCTTGTGAGAGATCAAGGTCGGGACGTCTTGCCCTTGGAGCTCGACAAGGTGAAGGACATAACAGGTGAGGGGACTGCCTTCGCAATGGTACGAAGCTTCGAGAAGGTTAATCATGGAGGTTATGTGGTCGGGTCTGTGGATGCAGACAAGAGTCTTCAGCTCGCCATTGTCTCTCAAGTTCACTAAGTTCCTCTTCTGGTAGCACATGAATTGCTTCGTCGGGTCGTAGAAATATTGGATCGCCATTGGTATGAACAGCGAGTTTAAGACGATGGAGAGAGCGAGGACCGTGAAACTCTTCGAGGGGATAGCCTGAAAGAGAGAGATCAAGCAACTCCATCAAGAACAATCATCCAATGTGATGATCAGGTACCCGAAATCTTCCAGTTAACCGAATCTAAACCCGGACATATTGGATCTCATGAGATATTACTCGATCTCGGATCCGTTTTTGATCGATGTGCCCGATATAATTTTTGGATATTTGCAGATATCTGAACTCGAAATCATTTTCAGATTGGTTTTTTGAATGAGATACTCGAAAATTTCCAGTTACCTAAATCCGTATTCGAAATTTCTAGAGACTTGATTCAAAACCTCTATGTTTCTTTATGTAATTTCTTAGAACTAAGAATAAAAGGTCTTGCACGCAAATAACCATACTCAAATACGTTTTTCGGGTTTTCCTATCTTATGTAAAAGTCGAGTACCCGAAATTCGAATTTTTTTGGGCCCGACCCTAAGTATACGCACGTGTATATACATATAGAGTGAAAGAGATTGGTGATTTTACCGTTGAGTCGTAAGCGAATGTATAGAAACCGAGCTCGATGATACCCTTATGGCTCATGATAAGCGAGAGAACGATGGAATCCTTCAAGGGCATTTTGAACAGATAAGGAACGACGGCGGACGAGAGGAACTTCACGAAGAAGATGAGCAAGATTAAGGATGCAATGGCCAACTCTTCGGCGTCAGTGAACAAGTATTTGACCGAGCCAAGATCGATCTTCATCATCGAGGTGGCGAAGAAGAGAGGCAATATGATACCAAGGTTAAACCCTTCTAACCTCTCCACCAACACAGATCCGATAGGAGGTCCGTTCGGGATGGATAACCCGAGAATGAATGGCCCGAGGGCGGGAAGCTGTCCAAGCATCTTGAAATACAGACAGGAAAAACACAGCATAACCAGAATCCAGTAGATGTACTTGTTGTCTATAGGCCTGCCCTCTCGTTTCTTTTTTATGGCCCTGAACATGGCCGGCCTGACAAACAAGAAGGCGAAAACGATGAAGACAATGACCATAGTCATGATAAGCATCGCCATGAGTTTGTCCGAGTAGAGAGGAATGGACAGAAAGATGTACACCAGTCCCAACATGTCAGAAACCAATGACGAGGAGAGGCCGATGCGGCCAATGGAGGAGTGGTTGATGCCGATATCGCGCAATAGCCGGGCCACACCCGAGAAAGGAGTGGTGCTCTGCATCAGGAGGACAGTGGAGAACACGGCCGTTTGGAGAGGCCGGTTTTCTTGCCGTAAGTACAAGAAGGCGCCGATGAGTGCAGGTGCGGTGACCGAGACTATGCCCGTTGTTACCGCCTTCGCCTCAGATCTGAATATCCTCTTTATGTCCATTTTCACTCCCTTTACGAACCAGAAGATGGTGAACCCTAAGGATCCGAGACTCTCCGGCATGTTGATTCTGTGTTTGGGCTGTAAGATCTGATGCAAAGTCACGCTTCCAGTGCGGTTCATGGTACCATGCAGGACTAACCCAGCCTTCAAAACAGGAAGAAAAAAAAAGTTGCAGAAAAAATACAGAATACCTTTCTTGCGCCTCAAGAAACTAAAACCTCTCGTCGAGGCATAGCTAAAACCGGATTGTAAACCTTAGAACCCGATAACAAAATGTATAGTCCGTTATAATGCGGTAAATTCGGGGTATTAAAACACGAAAGGGAGAGACTTACAAGCATCATGGAAGTGAACTTGGGTATGACAAGACCTAACTTCTTGAACAAGATATCGAAGAACTGCCAGAGGAAGAAGACGATGACGATGACAAGCTCGATATTCGGGAGCCTGTACTGCCAAAAAGGAAGACCGATAGGGCCATAAATCATCTTCTCCCAGACACCGCTTGAATACAGCTTCGTAGGATGGTCCTCGCATATGATTCCGGTGGCCGAAACAGCCTCACCGTACCATGCCATTTCGAATGCCCATCTCGACATTTCCGTCTCGTTCCCATTTGACAGGTCCACTTCCAAATCCGACATGGCCGTTCTCAAGAAGAAGAACCCGAGACAGATAGATGACGAACAACTACAATACGAAACCAAACGTATAGATTCGTCTAAAGGGCAAAAAGAAAATGGGGGAAATATTTATGATGCAGAGGAGAAGATTGGACGGAGCTGGAGACAATTGAGTTGAAGAGAAACTGAAATATTAATCAGATGCCTTCAGAGTAAACCGTGCAACAGATGCTTTCCGTCTATAGACAAAAGCGTTAGAAAACACATCTAAAAACACACATATTAAAGATTCTTTCATTTATAGAATACCTTGTACCTCGACTTTTTTTCTATTTATAGCAACTCCCAACTCCTTCCAACTTGCTTAACTAACGAGTAACAATCCATGGGCTGGCAAATTTTTCATTTATGGATCAAGCATTACTGTAATAAATAGACAGAGCCTATGGTCCTCATCTTTCGTTCGGTTTTGTTGAAGCCATAATACTGAAATAAGAAGCCCAGAAACTCACAGAGCAAGAAAAGTTTTTTTTTTTCCGGGTTAAAGGTCTATTAGTTATCTAAGAAAACCCTATCTTACATCAGTGTTCATCAAGCTGAAGAGATAGATCGAACTTCAGAAGCTGTCTGATCTTATATACCTTTGTGGGAGTGCCGGAAACAGAAGGACGAAGTCAGGATGAGATTCCAGAAACCAAGAAAAACTTTTTTCAGCTGACCACAGAAGCTTTTCCGACATGAGCAGATCGAGCTGATATGCTCGAATACCGATTTGTCTTGAGCTCCCCGAGCAATCTGAAATCAGACCACTTGACCCATCTCATTCCCCATAAAGAGTTCTGCAGATCAAGAAAACCCGACACATCTAATGGTTGAATCATCAGGGCTTTAGTCACAGACTCATAACTGAGTTTTAAAGAGTTTACGACACTCTAAAAGCATTAGGCACTTCAAAATTATTTGGGATCAAGCTAAAGATTTATAGACCGATCATAACAGCAATGAATAGAATTCTTTTGAAGGAGAAAGCGATGATGATGATGAAGAAGAAGAAGAAGAAGAAGAGTACCTGAGCATGGCTGAACCAATCCTTATTGCCCATCTGCTCATTCTTCTCATCTTCAACTTTCAAATCAGACAACAAAAGCATATGGCAACTGATGAATCATGGTACTGCATGTAGATACGAAAACATAAAACCACATGTTACGAAATCATTCGACTTAATAGCAAAAGAACATATGAAGGATAAAAATTTTGTTCACCGCTTGTAGGGACAGTCAGTTTCCGGTAAAAGAGTACGTTTCCATCACAGCCAGAGAGAGGAATATCGATGAGATGATCAATGTAATGCTCAGAAATCGACATCACCATGTTCTAGTGTTTTTGTCCGAGACTGTCCTCTTTCGATAGCACCTCCAACACTGTGCCTTTAACGATCCAAGCAGTATTCTCAGGTTCTTGTTCCGATGGATTCAGAGGAAGCTGTGTTCCGTCTTCCAGTTGTACACCGTACACAAATGGTAATCTTAGAGAGAGAAAACTATCCGGTGGTAAAATCACGGGACATCCAAGGCTAAACTGCAACTTCTGCTCACGGTCAACGACAGAGGGAGGTAGGGATGATTCCTGAAGTTAGAACAACTATCAGAGTTGTGTCCAAAGGATCTAAATTTAGAAAAAGAAATCAAAGTTTGGATCAAGAGTATAAAAAAAAGAAAGTCGTTATGAGCATCACAGTAACTAGTTCTCTAGTAGCCTAGTCAAGATAATTTATTATAGCTTAGGACAACTAGTTGGAACTAGATTTCCTTTCTTGAAAAAAGCAGTTTTCGATGCATATTTACGACTACGAGAGAGGCTTCTGCTGCATGTTACGATACAATTGAATAAGTTAGTCCTCTATGAAAATCTAGAATCACAAACGATGATAATTGATGATACTAGAACATTGAAAAAACCCATATGAATTGCATCGGACAATTCAATCAAGCAACAAAAAGTACCTGAAATTTTACCACCGGACAGGTTGCCAACACTACAGGAGACTGAGGTGTGACCTGGAAGCAAAACTTTTCTTTAACAACATTTAAAAAAAAAAAAAGAGCAATTCAAACAAAGGGCATATCAGCTAGACGATATAAATCTCACAAACAAAATAAACCAAATGTGGATGATGATCCCTCGGAAAGAATACACATTAAAAAAACTGATTCGTGATCCAAATTTCACTTGTTATAGTTTCCAGGCATAGAGCTGACTCAAAATTTCATGGGACATGGATCATACTGAAAATGTTTAGAAGCAAACTGCAGAATTCAGAAACCCCAGGTATTCCATCAACGTAATGATTTATCCGTCAACTAGTGTGAGTGACAAAATGATTATATAAATAAATAGAACTTGTGGCCATCGCTTACCAGAAAAATTCTCTGAAGCTGCGATATCGTACCAGCATATTTAATATTTGCAGAATCCTTCTTGGGCAAAACTGCTAAGCAATGAGGACAATTCATGAATAATGGCAAGTTTCTACCCAACAGAGTAAAAGCCGAGCCAGAATCATCAAAGTTATCGGCTCGGGTGTCTGCCCCATGATCCTGAATAACTTGATCACCCGTGTTTGTATCCACCGACATCCTATTGCCTTCTTTTCCAGGTATGAAATTATCTTTTGAGACAATTGACCTTGACCTATCCACGGTTTTCATCCTATTGGACTTTCGACGGCCTTTACCGTAGCCAGTATTCTTCTCCAGCTTTGAAGGATCAACTGCAAACTTTGAAGTTTCTGCAGGATTAGGACCAAGATGTCCTTCGGGAACAGAATATGAAGGCCCTGGCTTAGTGAGGTGCTCTACACTCAATAAGAAGCGATGGCCACGAGGACACTCATGCTCAAATCCTATGTAAGCAGTCACATTCTCTGGCATGCGGTTTGTCCTAACCTTCTCACCAACCTTTGTATTCGTTGACACTGCATTACGGCCAAGTTGCAAAAAAGGATCAATATGTGCAGCATCAATGCCTCTGGTCCTGTCTAAGATTTCCTGACCACAAGAAATGCCCTCAGACTCTTGAGAATCTTGTTTAAAAGCATCTTGAGTGTGCTCGTTGCGCTGTTCATTCACTCTCTTTTGCTTGACATCCTTGTCCAGGGCAGGGAAAGGTTGTCTGCTCTGTTGAAGAGGAGGAAATAACAAATCTATGCTTGTTGATCCAGCAACAACCTCTGAGAAAGGCTTTTTCATGATGAAATTCGGAAGGCCTTTACCAAAACTAATTCTACTGTCAGAAACACCACCATCATCCACGGATCCTCCCTGATCCCGATTTACAGCCCCTAGGGTAACTTGTGATGTATCAACCTTGCTTCTGTTTGTAACTAATCTAGGCATAACTACATTTGATCCAGACATTGAATCCTTTAATGCATTACTAGGCAGCAATCCATTTGGAGTTTCCTGCTTGTTTAGAAACAATACCCATTTCGAAAGAAACTTCTGTGCAGCAGAAAACCCACTTTGTAGTAAACCTTTTGAGGGTTCATAATACCTCGAGCCACCTACTCGGACTATACTCCATGACGACGATAGTACAGGTCCCACATAACTTACTTCAGGTAGCTTAACACTAGGAAGAAGTTTGTCACAGTCTGGAAAGCAGTTGAACAAAATATTTGCTGAGTCAAAATCAAAAGGATCAGAACGTAATCTCCGCAAGCGACCACAAGCGCAAGCGTGAAGGAAAACATAACCACTGGAATGTGGTTTCACATCAGCTCCAGGTACCAACTCATCAGCCCCAACATTGTGTCTTTGGTGCATACACGGCTTCCCAGTTAAACTGATAGCATCACATAGCTGTCTTCCCGATTTCCATAAGGCCGTGCACTCATCCTCCAACCTCTTAGTGAAGAGCTCCACTGAGGGTCCTCTGACCATTGAGTTGAAAGCATGCAAGGTCTTCTGTAGATGTATTTCATGCATCGAAGTAGGATAACATGCAGGAAGATCTTTCAAATAGACCTCCTTTGCTACCGGAAGGGCTCTTTCACACCACAAAGAGGAAAATTTCTGATTCAGACCTTTCCCACTTCCCAACCAAGAAACAGCAATACCCAGAGTGTCTGCACCTTTTGATGACACTGTTTCAACTTTTGATGGGGAAATGTTTCGTTCACGAGGTTTCTTCTTGATAATGTCAAATTCAGTGATAGGCACACTTTTCGCAGTTAGAATGCCGTCTAGAATTCGAAGACTGCATGAGAGCCATTCTTCCAAATGCGGAAGTTGTGGAGGAGTAAACGTTTTTGCAGATGTAGCTGAAGCAGCAGCTGCTGCTGCTGCTGCAACGGCAACCATACCGGTGCCAGCATTACTTGAATTAGCAGCCAAACCCTCTTTACCTCTTAAAATATCAGAGCACCTGTGGATGAACTCCTTTACAGACATCACATCCTCTTTCATAGATATCTGACCATTCTTTTCAAGCAGAAGAGACTCTGACTTAGCCTTTCCATTCAAAACATCATCCACAAGAAAAGAAGCAAACTCCAGAGCCTCTCCTTTCTTATTACTAGACCGGTCTAAAAGGACAACAGTCTTTGATGCATCAAGTGAAAATAAAGGTGTGGAACTCGAAACAGACCCACTTCTTGAACCTGCATGACTGTTATCGGAGCCTGATAGGGTTTTACATTTCTTAATCAAAAACCTGATCTGGGCCTCAAGAGATGATTGTAATTTCTTCCTTAATCCACCTTCAGATTTACTTCCAGGGCGAGATAGCACAACTACAGAACCAGAACCTTTCACGGGTAAGGTCGACCTAGCAAACTTGCCTGAGTTCGAAGACTGGTTATTTACAGATGAATTGCTCGTTGATTCCTCTACACCAGAGCCACTATTTGACATGTTTGAGAAATCATCCAAAAACACAAATAATGTTACAGGATTACACTGTCCAGGGAACAGAGAAGTGTAGGAACCCAGTCCAGACATGAGCGGACCACGACTTATAATGCCACCACCTCTAGCTGAAGCTGAAGAGTTTGGCTGTGGAGAAGCACGTGATGGTGATGAAGAATGAGGTCTCGATGATGATGACGATGTCAAAGGAGATGGAGTTTGAGACCTAAAGTATGGAGCTAATGCCTGTTTGGCAGCTTGCAAGACCCTAAATTTCTTCAAGAGTTGAGTATCAAAGCGTGACCCTTCCTGAATGTATATGATAACATGACAAACCTGCATTGCTAATCGAATCACCTCCAGGCCATCATTATCAAACTAACCAAATCAAAACTTTGTTGCCTAACCAATATGTCTAATTTGGCAAAACCCATAATCTCTACGCCAGTAATTAGTTAATGTCCGAAACTTGATTACATATGTCAACATTAACTCTAATAAGCTCAAAATACTTGCAGAATCACATAAACGAGCATGCTTTGTCACTTCACTAGGGTAATATGTCTATGCTTCAATACGAGAGATTGAAGTAACCTTCCATACTAACATTAAGACATAGAACAACTCACAGAGAACATGAAGAGCAAGCCCTGAAGATCACCGAACTCCCGCTCCTCCAGAACCGAATCAAAACCCGACCCAGGATCCGACACGCCGTCAAAAGCCGGGCACCGGGTCGGGCAAAACTGCAGGAAGAGAAAACCCTTGTCCTCCTCGTGGTAATAGCTAATCCTCCGAAACCTAAACCAATCCCGAACCTCGTCTCTTTCAACCCTCAAGAACCTGTCCAAGTTACCCGACCCGAATACGTTGGAATCCAGAACCCGGTTGATGAGCTGTGAGGAATCGTCGGGCCTCCGCGAGACGAAACCCACCACAACGACGCCCTCGGAAGAACGGAGCAACAAGTTTGACGTTGACGGCGGCGGATCGGGAGATTTAGGCAGCGGAGGCGCCGGAGAGTGTACCGCTGGCCGACGGATTAGGCCGGGGACGGGCGGAGGACGGGGAAAATCCATGAGCAAGGGTTATTTTATCGGCCAGTCGGGGGTTTTTCAAGATTCGCCATTGAGGGAGAGAGAAGATGTGGCCCCTTTCCAACTAATGCGTGACAAACGAAGTAATAGAGATTAAATTATAGATAAATGCCATTAAAATTCCTAAACTAATTTCTAAAAATTTATTCTTAAAATTTCAAAATATATCATTATAGTTTCCAAAGCTTAACATTTTTTCGACATTAATATACAAATTTAGGAATTATAATAATATATTAAAAATTTATTAAACGAAAAATTTTAAAATTAATTTTTTACTATTTTATAAGTTTAAGAATTTTAATAAGATTTATCCTTAAAAAATTTATATTTTGTTTATTTCATACATGATATATGATTTGGATTTGACTAATTTATTTTATAGAAAATCATATCCAATTGATTTTGTATAAAGTTATATTTATTTTATATGACTGAAATGATGAGTTATGAGATTTACTATAACACATTGTTGTAAAAGGTGAGATTATTTCATCATCTAATAGCCTTTGCTAACTGTTTCGTCTTAATAAATGCAGGTTTAAATTCTCTATCCCTAATGATAATATCTCTTACGAGAAATCTTCTTCTAAAAGATTAAAGAAAAGGAAATTACAGTAAACGTGACATTTGACTTATGAACACTCAAACTCATCTACGAGACATTAACCCACTTGCAATGAAAATGGTTCAACTACTTCTATCATTAAATTTGAAGATTAAACATAATGATTATTAAAAATAATATTTTGATGACTGTTTATGACATGAAAATCAGCCAATATTTTTTGGATTTGTACGTTAAATCATATTAGATTATCCATAACTTAGAGATTAACAGATAAAGAATATAAAAATATTCGAATATATATCCTTGTAATTATATAAAAAATATTCGAATTATCTATACCCTTATAATTATGAGTGTAAGCCTAATAATCAATCAATTCACTTGGGGTTTTTCATAATATATTTATGTTTAATAAATATAAATCTAAATAAGCCCATTCATACATTAAAATAGTTTTTTTTAAAACATGTTTTCTTGGTTATCACTACCAAAATCCTAAACAATTAAATTTGAGTTCAATAATATATATATATATATATATATATATATATTAATTAGAAATTATTTAATTTTGATGAAGTTAACAAAATTATTGTAGCAGTATATATCAAGGATAAAAGCTCTATGTTAATTTGTTGACTACTCCATAAACTATACATATATAATGCATATATACTCATATACGTGTGTACATACATAATTGCATATATATATATATATATATACTTGTTATATTTAATAAATTAATGCCAACTCAAAATACGTTATATGTAGAAGCAGAAACTATGCCATTGTATTTTGGCTGCATGACAATGAGGTGTTGCTTAGTTGCAACCAACATGCTTTCATGGATCATTCATGAGTTGTGTTCTACAATATTCTCATTTTCTTCTTTTATTGTATATATGTATATATCTCCATGTTGGTCATATTAGGTTTTGATTGTGATGCTTCTCTTTATCTTTTAACAAATTAATATGTAAATTTTGAGTTTATATATATATATATATAGTAACTTGATTGTTGCAATAATATGTTTATATGAGTGGCGTATCAAGAATAATTTTATAACGGGGGCAAAAAATAAATAAATATATATATAATACAAAAAAGTTAATAAAAATATATGGTATAATTTTTTACTTATTTACATAGAAAAATAAAAATTTAAAAATAGAAAATAAAAAAGAAAAAGAAAAAAAATAGGATATATAAATTTTTTTATTTGATTTGTTAGATAACGTTTTAAGATATATTCAAAATTAACAATAATGAGGTCCATAACCAAATAATAATGGAGCATTAACTGTATTTTTCAAAATCTTAAATAAATTTTATAAATATTTTTTAAAAAAAAAAATTCAGTGGAGGCCAGTGCCCTCATTCATCTTCAAGTGGGTTTGCACTTGGTTTAGATGTCAATTTCATATATATATTCTGTTTAGTGAATTTCAAATGACAAAAAACAATTGGATATTGAATATTTAAAATATGGCAATAACGGGTGTCAATTTTGGTGCGAAGTTTGCTCTATCCCGAAAAATGGCGGGTTTCGGATCAGATTCACATCAGATTTTGGATCGGTCCGAAAATACGATTTTTTTCAAAAATAAATAAAAAATAAATTTTATAAGACAAATTTAACGAACCGATCCGAACCCAAATCCGAAGTCAATAGGGCCGAACTTAGGATTTGGTTATTTGGATACAAAACAAAATTGAACAGATCCGAACCTGATCTCGAAACCCTTGGGTCCGATTGATACCATTGATGTCAATTAATCTTTTTTTAGTTCAAGTATGGTACAGTGTGGTCACTAATTTTTTTTGTTTGACAATAAAAGTTTCCCATAAGCGCCTATAAATAATCTTTTGTTATAGTGTTTAACTTGTAACTATAGTCTATTAATTCTTTCTAACATACTTATGTAAATTCCCATAAGCGCCTAGGGGTAATCGCATAAAAATACCCGAACTTTTACAAAAATCCCAAATAAATATCCGAACTATAAAATTGTCATATAAATACCTGAACTTTTCAAAACTCCTACATAAATACCCAAACTTTTAAATTTTTTTCCAAATCAAACAAACGCAACTGCTGACTCAGCAAAAAACTGTTGACTCAGAAAAAAAACTGCTGACTCAGCATTCAAAAATATTATTAAATATCCAAATATTCATCTATATATATTTAAATT